ATCATAATTACTCTACATGGAAAACATTCATTCTTAAAATGGCTATTGTCACCATTATCATACACTAATTCTAGTTTTCCAGTCTAGCATTCTCAAAAAATTCAAATTTTGTCATTCATTAATGACTCACTAAGAAAGTTGGAATTCTAACCTCTTTTCCGAGAATTCCCTTCCTGACTTTGGAATGAATATCACCATGCATAGCTTCTTGGTTACTTTTATATCTTTGGTGGAGATGCTTGCGTGACCACGTAGCGGGGAGCTATAAAGCTAAGAGAGAACAAACCAGTCCCTTCCGACTCCACCCAAAGCTAACTGGTGTCGTACCCTTTCCACATAAAATTGGAATGGCAGAAGCATTTCCCCCAATCGTTCTTCTCTTCTCCTCACTCTTCCTAGGAGAGTCAGAGATGGGCTTCTAGCTGCAGGAAGGCCTCGTCCAGAGCATCTTCGGATATATATGTTGCATTATACCCAGCCACTGCCAGAGCGTGCGATTCCGCTATGTTGTCGCTGCATCTCTCGTCCACAAGGCTTCTATTGATCCAACGCCTCCTAAGAAAGAAATTGCCTAGTGGTCTTCTTATGATATGCGCTTCTTTCTTGGCGCCACCAACCAATCACGTCGGTGGAGTGATGATTGAATTTAAAATTCTGCAAAAATAAAGACCACAACTACCTCTCTCGGATGCAATTCTCTTGATCATGTTGGGCCTCTTTAGTTCAACAATAGAGCGGGGTTCCCTCCCTCCAAAGCTCCGCTATCTTGCCGACTTCAACTTCTCCAAGCAAAACCACTTAACCTGCCCGGGAATAAATTAAAAAAAAAAACTCAAAGTATTCACGGTCCACGTTATTAAAACCAAGATTACCATCGCTAGCAACATGCTCCATGCTGACCAGAGATGATTAGTCCTCCTCGTTCTTGATCATATATATCATATGCTTCGTGGACTTCCTTGTAAGCTACTGGTAGCTTTTAACTTCCTTCCACTTAAACGTTGTTATCTCAATAATGGACGAAAGATAAATCACAACTCACAAAAGTTAAAAGAGGGGAAAAGAAAAAGAACCATCGATTCCCAATTTCCCATCAAACTTGTGTCCCCAAATATTATTAATTAGCCCACGCACGCATGTCTCTATCTCAGTCTCTTTTTCCATAAGCGTGCCTATTCTCGATCACTAAAGAGACTCGCCTGAATTGGTCTTTCATAAACGCGCCTGTCCGGAACGTGGCCCCAATCTCTGGATATTTTATTCTAGGTTTGAGGAAGGCATTACTGGGGTCGCTCTTTTCATCGAGTTCGTAGTAGCCAATTGGTCTACAAGAGCGATCCAGAAAGTATCGAGTTGTGGGCAGCCAAGCCATATCCCTTATACTTGTGACCGATTGGAACCAGACGCGGTAATCATCATGTTCGGTGGATATAACAGCAACCAAACGTCTTAAAATTGTTAGAAACCGAACAAAAAATTTAGAGTTACCTATCTGGCTGAAAGACGTTCACGGCACTGTCTCGTATTGCGCACAACAGAGTATCAGCCGGTCGCCTCCAGGATAAAACAACCACTCTTTTGATTTGCTCAGCAGTTTTGTGCGAAAACCGGAGCTCTATGAACTCACTCTCTTTCTCGTGTTTCCGCTCTCTGAGGTTGTTTAGAGGGTCTGGGGCGTCTCCTATTTATAGGAGCAGAAAACCCAGAATATTCCCTCTTTCTTTGAGAATAAGTCACATTTTAATTAGGGGGATAATTACTCCCATAATTAAAATATAATCTATTAAGATAACTATTCCTAATTATCTCCATAATATTCCTTTTATTAATTATCCACCTTAATTTTGTATTATGGAAAATACTCAATAATTAATTAGGAATTTCATTATAGCTTTTCAAAGTTATTCATCCCAACAGTAGATACCTCCAAAGAAGGAAATGGCGGGAGGAGAGACTACTATAGTTTTCTGAGAAAAAAAAAACGTGGGGGATTGGGGTTAATTGCACAAGTTGCAATTTAAGTTCACCATTTGTTGCATGATAACCACCCAAGTATGTTTTGTTGCAACTAAATCACTTACGTCAAATTTCGGTAGCACCGTTACTATTTTCGTCTCTATGGCTAACGGTAGGTACCAAAATGTAAATAACCATTCCAACTCAGACTGCCACATCAGCGACAGACTGCTGACTCATGTTTGGCCCTACCCTATTTAAATCCAATAAATGACACATCCTCCCTCCCAAAAAAATCATCCGACCCCTTCCTCCTTCTCCTTCCTTTCCACCCCCAAACCTTCCCTAATATCTGTCCAGCGAACCAATCTTATTTTTCAATCCTTTAGGTTTGGGGTGGAAAAGAAGGAGAAGGAGGAAGGGGTCGGATGACTTTTTTGGGATAGTGGGTCATTTATTGGAATTAAGTGGGGTTGAGTCAAACATGAGTCAGTAGTTTGCAGTTGACATGGCAGATAGAGTTGGCATGGTTATTTACATTTCGACATCTATCATTAGTCATGGAGACGGAAATAGTAACGGTGCTACCGGAATTTAACATAAGTGGTTTAGTTGCAACAAAACGTACTTGGATGGTCATCATGCAACAAATGGTGAACTTAAGTGGCAACCTGTGCAATTAACCCTCGGATTGAATTGTTTTGATCATTCCGAGGAAACCATTAATTGACGAGTGCTGGCTGTCTGCTGGCAAATGCATACAAATTGAGTTAATAAATTAACCCTGATGAGAGAGGTCGCCGGCGGGAGTAACACGTGCCTTTGACGGAATCCCGGCACAGGTTTAATTTCCGAGGTCAACCTGGGCGCTGGATATTTATTGGTTTCAGGGTCTAGAGAAGCTTAGCTTGCCTCTAAACGGCAAAAGTTTCTGTGCGAAACGCAAATACAGAAAGATCGTTCCCCGGCCTCTGTGCTGAATGTGGGAACGTCGAGTACATTTGGGGAAAGACAAAACAGAAAAGGAAGAATCGATCTGACTGCACGTAATTCCAGTATCCTTTCAGCTGGACTGGTGCCGTTTCTTCAGCTGAATGGATACTTGAAGACTTTTGCTAATTAATGGCGGGGAAAATGGCATTGAAATTAAAGATGCTGTCATGGCGTTGATTTTGTTTGACTGAAGGGTCTGTCTCAATTCCATTTCTTATTGTATATCTACAACATGGTATACTAAAGAAAAACAAGTTGTGTTGTATAAAAAAAGTTGTTATTTGCCGCTTCTTTACGGTTTTGAGGAGAGTATAATAGTGCTTTAAAAAAAGTAGGAGAACGATCTGTGTTAATTGGTTTGACTATGATCGAATCATTTGTTGATTTGTCTAAATTTTTTTCTCAAAAATCAGTGTTCGGAAAATCTCTTAATGAAGTTATCAATAATAGATAGAAGAGTTTTTTTTAAGAAAGAAGGAAGAGAAGGAGAAAAAGAGTGTAAAGAAGAAATAACGTCTTTCTCATTTGTTGAAATGTTTATGTTTGTCAATCTATCTTTCTGATGTTCAGAGGTACGTAAGGAGTCTTATAGAATCACACCACGAACCAAAAAGTCAATGGATGGAGTGTTTGCGCCCCAGTCTGAAAATTTCGAGCTCCAAAACGATTCATGTATGAATTGATCGGTTTAGTTCGGATTTTCGTAATCCTAATGCAATTAATGTTACAACCTAACACTAAAGAAATTATTTTAACCAATTATCATCGCTCACTCCTTGTCTTCCTCAGAACCAACACATAAAATGTAACGAACATTATACAATGAAAGGGAGTGCCTAATTAATCTATTCCTAGTTCCTAGGATTAACCTAAACCTTATTAGGTCAGGGCTACCCACACAAACTTCAATTCTTTCCAATATGTGGTGTTAATGATTAAGCATTAAACTTATTGAACTCTTAATTAGTAAGACACTAACTAAACCGTTCATCCTAGCTAGGGTCAGGAATGGATTACTGATTAAATACCAGCTGAAAAGATACCGTACCACTGAAATTAATAGCTAGAAAGAGGAAAAAAGGCATGCTTTTGATTAACAAGTAGCAAGTCGTGAGGAGATCGAGGACAGCTATAGGGAGCCATGGTGCATATGGTATCTTTTCTACACAAGGATCAATCACTTTATAATAAGCAAAACAATTTCTGAAAAGTAGCAACAGAAGACTTGAACTTAAAGCAAGCACTTGCATGCCAGCCATGTCAAATCCTTCCATCCCAATCCATATAGGATTCTGCCTCTCCAGCCTCCTTCAATCCACAGAAAGGAATAACCAGAAAACCAAGCAATGAATTATCCCCTACTTCCCCACTCATAGAAGTGTATTGATCTGGTGTTACTATTTACTAACATCAATTCACTCTTTTCTTGAAATTCTCTGGGTTATTTGGTTTTGGTGACAATTAAATCAATACATTGTGATCAATATGTATAATACGTACTACACATGTGGTTAGAAAAATTGGTGTATTTTACTAGTTTATCTTGTTTGAGTTTTGTGATAGTTATCGTAACACTTGCATGCAGTCAGATTATCATAAATAAACCAAATGACCCTTTAGACCTTACCCATTATGATTGATCAATTGATGAGAAATGTGGGATAATATGATACTCAACTTTGAATTTCAACTACCTGGTGTAGCAGCGTATCTATCGTTCAATGAATGATTGTTCATTGTAGTTAGATTTTTTGCTTAAGATGTTAATATGAACATTTAAAAAAAATAAATTAACATTTTTTTTGTTACTTGCCGTGAGAATGAATCAACAATGTAAGACCAAAAATGATCTAGCGAAAATAGATAAGAGTAGAAAGCAGCAACTACTCAACCCTTTCTATGAAGAACAAAATTGAGTAACCAACTTGTTAGTTTTTTTTACATGACATAAAAGAGAACTTTGTAACCAACTTGTTAGTCACCCTAAAAAGTAATACCCTTTCATGCAACCAATGCCCTAATATAAATACTCTATCCTTAGCTAGCACTTCACAATAGAAACAATTAACTCCCACACTAAAATGAAGCTCCCAATTGGGTTGAGTGTCACAATTCCCCTACTCCTTGTTGCAACCATTGCTTTCTTCACACTCTCTCCACCATGCCTCTCCTCCTCCTCCTGCTCCGTTCTCTCCTCCTCCGTCGCTGCCTCCCCCTCCACCTGGAAACTCTCCCTCTTCCGACTACACCCTCCCCACCGTTCCGCTGCAGCTCTGCTGACTGCAGTCGCCGTGACAAAACAACAACAACAAGACCTCTCAGTCAAAGAAAACTCTTTTTCAGTCAACAAAACTCCAATACCTTTAATCAAACCAACCGCGACCAAACTGGACCGAATGGAATCGAACCTCGCCCGAGCCAGAACCGCCATCCGGGAAGCCTCCCGCCTCCGCCGGCGAACCCCACCTGACACCAACCTAACCTCCTCCTCCTCCGACGAATACATTCCACGTGGCGCCATCTACCGGAACGCCGACGCCTTCCGGGCGAGCTACTCGGAGATGGAGAGGCTGTTCAGGGTGTACGTGTACAAGGAAGGGGAGCCGCCCATTTTCCACGACGGACCTTGCCGGAGTATCTACTCGTCGGAGGGGAGGTTTATTCACGAGATGGAGAAGGGGAAAGGGAAGAATATGTACGTGACGGAAGATCCCGACGAGGCGATGGTGTATTTCTTGCCGTTTAGTGTGGTGAGGATGGTTCAGTATTTGTACGAGCCTGGTGCTCGCGAGACCGACGGGATTGGACGTGCCGTTTTGGACTATATCGGCGTCGTTTCGGGGAAGTACCCGTTTTGGAACCGGAGCCTCGGCGCCGATCACTTCATGCTCTCTTGCCATGATTGGGTATGAACATTAATATTTTTTTTTTGTTGCGTTTCCATATTACCGTAATTTGGGAATAATTTCACCTTAGTTAATTTGGATGAATTTAGACGGTTAAAATATATGGATTTTCTACATTGCTTTGAAACAAAGTTAGTAAAATACTATATGTGCAAGTTATAAAATATATAAAATTAATTATTTTAATGGAGTTCTGCTTGTTGATTTTCACAAGGTTTGTCGTGTTACCGATGATCATTTATTTCACATTGGAATATGAGTGCTTGGGGAAAACATAAATTAGTATATAATTATTAGTTAAGTTAGTAATTTAATTTATTAAATATGAATATTAAATGTGTTATACGGGTTTTACACGTGTTTAGTACGGGAGCTATTAAATGAATGAAAAGAGATGAAACGACTTCACAATAATACAGATACATAAGTTTTAAACGGATAAAATACGCCTGACCATATGTATCAAACGGAGTATCCACTAACTATGCTTTGAAGCAAGTCAATTTAAATATTTTTACCTGCTATAAAAGGTTTCATGGTCACATTATGTAGTGGTTAAGTGACAGTTATGCACATATAACGTAACACTTATAAAACGGTCGTTATATGTAATAGACGATCCTTTTACGTACGGAATCTTAACCTCGCATTCTGTAAAATAATAAATCATTATAAAAGTCTTACGTAATACTTCTGATTTAACTGTTAGGCAAGAAGTAAGCTCTCGGTAATGGATTTGTATTTCATCATAACATATGTTAAATTTGGGTAGTTTAATTAATAACAACATATGTTATTTGGCAGGGTCCTCGAGCGACGACTTACCACCCACACCTCTACAACAACTCCATCAGGGTCCTCTGCAACGCCAACACGTCGGAAGGTTTTAATCCGGCGAAAGACGCTTCCTTCCCCGAAATCCACCTCCGAACCGGAGAGATCACCGGCCTGATCGGTGGGCCGCCACCTTCCAGCCGCTCCATCCTCGCCTTCTTCGCCGGCCGCCTCCACGGCCACATAAGAAAAATCGTCCTCGACACATGGAAAGACCGAGACCAAGACGTCCAAGTCTTCGACAACCTCCCTCCAGGCGTCTCCTACGAGTCCAAGCTCCGAAACAGCAGGTTCTGCCTGTGTCCCAGCGGGTACGAGGTTGCGAGCCCGAGGGTCGTCGAGGCGATCTACGCGGAATGCGTCCCCGTGCTCATCTCCGACAGCTACATGCCGCCGTTCAGCGACGTGCTGAACTGGAGCGCGTTTTCGGTCACCATCGGAGTGGAGGATATCGGGAGGATAAAAGAAATACTGACGGAAATTCCCGACGAACAATACCTGAAGATGCACAGGAGGGTGAAGCAGGTGCAGAGGCATTTCGTGGCGAATGGACCGCCCAAGAGATTCGACGTTTTTCACATGACGGTACACTCGATCTGGCTCAGGCGCCTCAACGTTCGGATCCAAAATTCGAGTCTTTAAGCTTTTGCACGGACAACATTATCTGTGATGGGGGGAAAACTGTAAAGTGTTCGTTCTTGTTTTTGTAGGCCTGCCAAATTTGGAAATGGATTTTTGATTTCCCTTTGCTCCATCGAATGGCGGAATGGAATTTCTTATGTTGGGAGGCAGAGAGGAAAGAATTAGAAGCAGGCCAAGCAGCCTAGTGTGACAATGGGCCGTTGCTCCTTTGAGGCCCAAACGCGAAGCATTCGAGCCTTATTATTGCGGGCTGGGTGCATGACTGACGAATTGGGCTGGAAAGAAAGTATATCAGCCACGAGAAAAGGGTTATTTAAGGGCTCGTTTGGTATGCACGAAAACCACCATTAATTAAGCTATAAAAAAAGACCCGCCAAGACCAAGACATGTCATATAATATGGCCGTCGAAACACCTAATAATCCTGGTTTTACGTTACCGTGTTTCACTTGATAATATAAACAATAAATAGCAACAATAAGCCATATTTATAAACATAGACCGCCAAAGGGAGCCACATAGTACGTAGTAAACTAATCAAGAACATCAACGACATATACAACGATATACACAAGCAAAAGACCCACCAAAATTCAATCAATAATCAGTTGTCGGCGTCAAAAATGTAGGTCGACTTTGCGGCAGAGAAGTTGTCCTCCAACTTCCAAACCTGTTCCTAACTTAGTATAACACGATTGCTCCTTGTTAGAGACTAGGAAGATGGGCACCCTCTTTCCACGTTCCTTCTTGCTAGTTTCACAAGTAGCTATTTTATCGTATACCTTAACCACATTAGAGTTTCTTAGTTGGTATACGTCGCACTTATCGCCAGTGAAAGACTAATCTGAGTGGGAAGAGCACAAAAACATACATGAAAATCTCAACTGAGCTGGCAATATGAGAATCCTTAATATATTTCTCATTCATTCACTGTATTCTGGGTTCAAACATGAAAAATCGTCATAATTACCAGCCATCAACATAACTTCATTTTTTAACGTAAGATATAATTATCTTTCCATATATACGAGTGCATAACGAACAATCATGTCCCATCTACGAACCGACGGGACTAATCAAGAGTTTGAGCTTGCGTAAATTTATATCATTATTCATATTTATCTATTATTTTGAGTTATTTTAATAGCCCGAATAGGATTCATGGAAATTACTTTTGAGTATTTGATTAGAAAAATTTTACAACGCTATATAGCATTGGTGTTGTAGGTTTTTGTCTTTATGTTACAACTTGAAGATGTACTTTTAATGTTACTAGCAAAAAGCCCAGTTTTAACAAATTTACAATTTACCCAACCTGTCAATTACAAAAGCGGATAAAAATCGCTCTCGATACAAAATGCGCCAACGATGGGCTAGAGTTCAATTTTCATTCTCAACGAAAAGGAAAATGAGAAATAAAAAAATTAAAGTGTACAAAACTCGCTTTCGATCTAAAACTGGTCAATGTGTTCAACTCGAATTGAACAATTTTTTTAACAAATTAACACTTGGTCCAATATGCCAACTACAAAAGCGGATAAATCTAGCTCACAATACAACACTCGTCAAAACCTTAGATTCGGGTTCAATTGTGTTCCCAACCAAAAGAAGAAGAAAAAAGAAATTTATAAATGCTAAGGTCGGTTTCAAGTCACTTTGACTAGATCGAATTAGGTTGGATACCCATGAATTTAGGTTCAATTGTGATCATGCTCAATAAAAAGGAAAATAAAAAATAAAAAACACTAAAGAGTATGAAACTCGGTCATGATACAAAACTCGTGGTAGCGGCCTTAGAAAATGATGGTGGGGAACAACTTAGAATTCCGCCGACAGTATTTCAAGATGGTCTGCAAATGGTGGACAAATGCGATGATTTGTGCTAAAAGCCATAGACGAAAACCTAGCGAACAATAACAAAACACTAAAGAGAATGAAACTCGGTCCAGATACAAAACTCTTGGTAGCGGCCTTGGGAAACGATGGTGGGGAACAACTTAGGATTCCGTCGACAATCTTTCGAGATGGACTACAAAATGGTGGGCAAAAGCGATGATTTGTGTTCAAGTTAGGATACCCATGTGTTTGGGTTCAATTGTGATCATGCTCAACCAAAAGAAAAAAACACTAAAGAGGATGAAACTTAGGATTCCGCCCACAATATTTCGAGATGGGCTGCAAAATGATGGGCAAAGGCGATGATTTGTGCAAAAAGTCATTGATGAAAACCTAGCGAACAATAACTAAACACAAAGGCGATGATTGTGCAAAAACCCATATACAAAAACCTAACGAACAATAATAAAACACAAACGAGATGATTTGTGAAAAAAGCCATAGACGAATATCTAGCTAACAATAACTAAATACAAAGGTTGTAGAATGGAGAGTGGGGTAAAAGAAGGACTTGGAACTTCCCTACTTGCACTTGGAGGAGTGCGAGAGCCACTAATGAATAGTAACTCAAACCTAGGCGATGATTTGTGTTCAAGTTAGAATACCCATGTGTTTGGATTCAATTGTTATCATGCTCAAAAAAAAAAAAAAAAAAGAAAGACAGAAAAAACACTAAAGAGGATGAAACTCGGCCCCGATACAAAAATCGTGGTAGCGGCCTTGGGAAACGGTGGTGTGGAGCAACTTATGATTCCGCCAACATTATTTCGAGGTAGGCTGCAAAAATGGTGGGCAAAGGCGATAATTTGTGCAAAAAGCCATTGATGAAAACCTAGCGAACAATAACTAAACACATAGGCGGTGATTGTGCAAAAAGCCATATACGAAAACCTAACGAACAATAACAAAACACAAAGGCGATGATTTGTGCAAAAAGCCATAGACGAAAACCTAACGAACAATAACAAAACACAAAGGTGATGATTGTGCAAAAAGCCATAGATGAAAACCTAACGAACAATAACAAAACACAAAGGCGATGATTTGTGCAAAAAACCATAGACGAAAACCTAGTGATCAATAACTAAACACAAAGGTTGTAGAGTGTAGAGTGGGTTAAAAGAAGAACTTGGAACTTACCCACTAGCACTTGGAGGAGTGTGAGAGCCACTAATGAATAGTAACTCAAACCTAGACTTTTATATAACGAAAACCTAACGAACAATAACAAAACACAAAGGCGATGATTTGTGCAAATTGCCATAGATGAAAACCTGACGAACAATAACAAAACACAAAGGCGTTCGAAGCAAGACGTTGTCTAATTAGACCACGAATTACAAATGCCTGGAAAAGCTCGATTGCTATTTCACGAGGCAATCCACATTGATGTAATGAAAGAGAGATGATTTGTGCAAAAGCCATAGACGAAAACCTAGCGAACAATAACTAAACACAAAGATTGTAGAGTGGAGAGTGGGGTAAAAGAAGAACTTGGCACTTCCCCACTTGCACTTGGAAGAGTGTGCGAGCCACTAATAAATAGTAACTCAAACATAGGCTTTAATATATTAATTAATATATTAATTAATGGTACAAATTCAGATTGTACTTGTACTCTTTTGTACAAATTTTTTAGGGTACAACTTGAACTTGTATATTTATTTGATGGTACAATATTAAGTTGTAAAGTTATACCATAACATAAGGGTACAAATTTCTTTACGGTACAACTTGAACTTATACATTTAACGTTATGGTCCAACTCCAAGTTGTACATTAAAGCACCAATGTTTATAGCATAGTAAAAGTGCTGATCATTTGATTAATAATTCTTGTAAAGGAATAAATGAAATCCGAGTAGAACAATGAGAGGAGAGAGTTCGAACATTAGGATGAGAAGGCAATGATTAGCCTGTGAGAAGATTGGAACTCAATTTATATTTTGATTGCTTTAATTATAGCTATATGAGTTTATTCTCACAATAAACAAAATGTTATGCATTTGAAAATTTCTAGCAATTTATCCAAAATTTTGACATTAATAATCCAGTAATTTATACAAATCACATGTGCTTTTTAACTTCAAAACATGAAAATCCAAATCAGAACACTAGTGATGATTAACATAAAGAAACAATCAGAACACCGCTATTTCGAGCAATTTTTATATATGATTATCGATCTCTGGAGGACAAATGGAAGCATAAACTCGCCTACGTGTCCTCGCCGATATATTGCCGGCCAAAGGGAGTAGATAGGTTTATGTAAAACTCGTGTAATTAGTTAATTAATCGTTGGGTCTGGTTATACTTGTACAAAATAATATTATAAGAAGAAGCGACTCTAGATCGTCACATGAGATCGACGAGTAGTTGTGCGGTATATTCTATGAACCCCTATGGGAACTTTCATATCGATGCATATCCCCGCACGTCTAACCTTCTAATGAACACTATATATATATATTGCCTTTGGCCACTGTATAAAAATACCCAACAGAAATATAATCATCAATTCGATCGATTATTCTTTGGTTATAACACAAGAGCAATCAGACACACATACACACAATATCGATCGTCATGATGAAGGTATGCAATTGGACTTTTAGCGACCATTTTTTCTGTTCGTCGTGATTAAACACTCATTTACTTGTATAGTTTACGCTCAATTTTCCGGTTTTATTGCAGAGAAGAGTTGTGTTGAGGGTTTCCAACATGAACAGCCAGAAGTGCCGCACAAAAGCCTTGAAGATCGCAGTTGCCCTGGCTGGTAATTCATTCATAAACCTAGATCAATCCGTCGTCGTGATTACTTAATTGTGATTATAGCTAGCTCATTAAACTTGATTAATACGCATGCAGGGGTGGAGTCGGTGGCCTTAGTTGGAGAAGAGAGGAACGAGATCCTAGTGACCGGGGAACGGATCGACGCCGTAGCGCTGGCGAGCTCGTTGCGGAAGAGCGTCGGATTTACCGACGTTGTAAGCGTCGCTGATTTTGACGGCGACCAAAATGGAGTTTTAGGGACGGATTTTGTTCATGGACAAGGGCAGCAGTTGCAGGCAATTGGTTGGACCAATGGGAATGGCAATAGCGCTGGGCTTAATTATGGAGGAGGTTATAATGTGGGGGTGCCTAATTATTATCATAATGATAATTATGGATATGATAATCGCCCACGTTATAATTGTCAATACCGTGACTAATAGAGCGTATATTACCCTTGCTAGCTGTCTTCATTTATATACTGTACTATATACTATAAGTGATTCACATATACATGATAAGTATGTATTGTAATTTTATTTCAATATATAAAAGTCTAGGTTTGAGTTACTATTTATTAATGGCTCTCACGCTTCTTCAAGTGTAAGTAGAGAAGTTCCAAGTCATTCTTTTACCCCACTCTCTTACTCTATATCCTATGTATTCATCTATTGTTTGTTGGCTGGGTCTACATCTATTGTCAATTAGTTCTCTAATGTTAGGTTTTTGTGTATTAATTAATGTTAGGTTTGTTGGGTGGGTCGGGCCGGTTGTGAATTTGTTACAAACTCGGTTCAACTTCAACCTGATCAAAGAGAGTTTAACGTGAAGTTGCCGAATTTTGGGTCATGAGCGAACTTTATCCATCTTAGTGTTTGTGTTAATTTCTCTTTATTTTTTAGAATGAAATTGAACCCAAACCAATGTGTATTCAACCTAATTCAACCCGACCAAAGTGAACTGAACTTCCTCAAACCTGCTATTAATTTCAAAAATCAATAAAAAAGGAGAATCAAGATGAACTTTAAAAAAACAAAGCAAAAAGAAGATAAACTAGAGAAGATTAAATATAGAAATTATTTGCTCCATGATGTTTCTCCCTTATTAAAGTTCATCGCTGCGGCGGCTATATGGAGTTGTAGATGACAATCTCTTTACTTTTAGGTGAAAATTCAAACTATTAATATTTAAGATATCATATTCTCGCTCAACGCGTAGTGATAACGAGCGGGCTTATACTAGTATATTGTAATGATCACTTTAGAGATTTGACGTTTTTCATAACTGTACACTTGATTTGGTTCGAGCGCCTAAACGTTCGGATCCAAAATTCGAGTCTTTAAACTTTTACAAGAAGAATATAATCTGAGATGAAGAAAGTGTAACGTGTTAGTTCTTGTTGTATTTTTCCCCCCTTCCTCTGTTCCTCGTTTTACTTTGATATGTCTTGATCTACACAGCCATAAGGCTAGTGGTTCTTTTTCTTTTTCATTTACGTAGAGTTTTGTAGCCAACAAAATAGCAGTGCATGGGCGGGTTTGGGACAGATTTGTCTAAACCATCCCCATCTCTGCTTTCAAATATCTGTACTCATACCCGTTCCATACTCATGTGAGGAAGGTTTTGCAAACCCATCCCCATACCCATGGGTAATAGTAATACCCGTACCGTACATCAAGCATTATAATACCGAATATTTTACATGTAGATTTTCAATTATAACATTAAATGCACTTATTATATCATGAAGTCAACAAAGAGACAATTATTTTTAATACGATTCAAAGCATCTTATCCTAAAGCATCCATTAATCCATATAAGAGTAGAGTACAATGTCATCCAAATCATTATTCTCTACTTTGATACATCTATTAAGTAATGATTAACTAACATAATCTTCTTAACAAGGGGAAAACGTGAAAGAGTGAAGGGAAAATTGAGAGAAAGAAATTAGATTTTGATTTGGGTGGCCACTCAATTGCATTTCTACTATATATTTTTCTTGAGATATACTCACTATTATTGATAGATTACAAATTGATTCACATATTTTTCATATATGAAGAAATATTTTTGGGTGGGTGGGTGGGGGGGGGGGGGGGGTGTTAAAAATATGAGTATGGGGCAGGGAGGCTAAAACCATACCCGGCCCATAACTGGAAAGAATCCCAAGTTACATATGTTTTTTAAAAAAATTCTCAAAATACACACGTTATGAAAATATTTTTTAATCTACGCATGTTTGGGCCTTCACCGCGGTAGAGGAGGGCGGTGATTGCATCACCGCATGAGAGAAGCACGGTGATTGCAATCACCGCATGAGAGGAAGGCGGTGATTGCATCACTGCTCTAGAGAAAGGCGGTGGAGGCCTGACCTGCGTCAAAACTTTAAACAAACGTAACTTTGTGCTCGATTATCCGATCGTAGCAAAATTTTTTTGATTCCTCATAATTTTTCGAGATCTTGCAAGCCGCAAAAAAAATTCGCTACGATAGGATAACCGAGCAAAAAAATACGTTTGTTTAAAGTTTCGACACAGGTCAGGCCTTCACCGCGGCCGTGTAATGCGGTGAAGCATTCACCACCTTCCTCCACTGCGGTGATGCAATCACCGCCCTCCTCTCACGCGGTGATGCAATCACCACCCTCCTCTGCCGCGGTGAATACTCAAACATGCGTAGATTGGGAATTATTTTCATAACGTGTGTATTTTGAGAATTTTTTTTTAAAAACATGTGTAACTTGGGATTTCCCCCCCATAACTATCAAATTTTTTGCGGGTTTTACCCATACCCGATCAATACGGGAATTATCCGCGTTGACTGGGTCGGGGACGGGTGGATACCCGTGAGCATGAGTTTGATTGTCATCACTTATCCCTACCTCCAACCTTCGTCTTCGCATTAATGTTACGATTTACGCCTAGTGTGCTAGTGGGCCGTTGCTCTATGGAGGCCCAAAATTGAAGCGTTCGAGCCTTATTAGTGCGGGCTCGGTGCATGACTGACGAATTGGGCTGGAAATTATATGAGCCCAAGACAAAGATTATTTAAGGGCTCGTTTGGCATGCACGAAAACCACCTACGCATTAAACTATAAATATAAGACATGCCAAGACATCTCAATATGACAAATCTCATACACACAACATGGTGATCATATGACTCTCATGCCAAGCAAACATATCAATAAAATTCATATATTAAAACACCGTAGAGAAGATTAGAATGGCCGTCCAAACACCTAACAATCCTGGTTTTACGTTATCGTGTTTCACCTGATAAACCTGTTAAGAACTAGGATCGAAGCAGAAATACCTAGAAGCAGAAACGAAACGGAGACAGAGATTTACGTGGTTTCCTTGATCAGTATGATCAAGACTAGTCCACGGCCGAAGCTATCAACGTATACACTTAGCTTAATTGTTCAGTTACAATAAATAGTGTGCTATAACCCTAGCCGAGAGGGGAAGGGATCGGCCTAGGGCTTGACTAAAGGCCTCCTGCGCTATGTACATTAATCATTTGGGATAAAGCCCATTTACATAACTCAACAGACTCCCCCAAATTGATGAGGGTCTTGCATCATCAATTTTCCAGCAAGATAAGAATGACGACTAACAGTGAAAGCCTTAGTCAAGAGATCTGCAATATGGTCTTCAGACTTGACATAGAAGAGACGAATAACACCATCTCGGACTAAGTCACGAATATAGTGAAGATAAACCTCAATGTGTTTCGTACGATCATGAAGTACTGGATTAGTCGCTATCCGAATAGCACTAGTGTTATCAACATGAAGCTCCATAGGAATCTCACACGTAAAACCAAAATCAGCAAGCAATCGCCGAAGCCATTCTAACTCAGAGACCACATCAGACATCACACGGTACTCAGTTTCAGTGGATGACTTGAAAACCCGATCCTGCTTCTTGCACCTCCATGAAATAAAGGAGCCACCGAGACGAACACACCAACCCGTCGTGGAACGACGAGTGTCAATACAACCTGCATAGTCCGAATCCGAAAAAGCCTGGAGAACATCAGAACCAGTAGCAGGGAGAAATAAACCAACACTCCTAGTACCCTGAAGATAACGAAGTAGGCGATGAACTGCAACTAGATGAGCAGTGCGAGGAGCTGACATGAACTGACTAACTATCTGGACCACATAAGCAATATCAGGACGGGTCGAAGTAAGATAGATAAGACTGCCAACAATGCTGCGATATTGCTTACCACCATCGGGCAGTAAGTCACCAGACTCCTTCCCCAGCTTAACATTAAGCTCCATTGGAGTAGAGACAGGTATGCAATCACCAAAGCGATCCGAGTCAAGAAGATCATCAATATACTTCCTCTGAATGAGAAGAATACCATCCTGCGAACGAGTGACTTCCAAGCCCAGGAAATAAGAAAGAGAACCAAGCTCCTTCAAGGTGAAGGAGGCATGTAAACCCTTAGTAAGTTCCGCAATACCAGCTTCATCATCACCACTAACAATCATGTCATCAACATATAAGAGCAGAATAACAATTCCACGAGCAGACTTGACGAGTAAAGAGGGAGTGATCACTCTGACTCTGCTTAAAACCCAAGCCAAGAACGGTGGAATGGAATTTATCAAACCATGCACACGGAGCGTGCTTGAGACCATAGAGAGAGCGCTGAAGGAGACAAACCGGATCTGGAATATCAGTGTCGGGAGTGTAGCCAGGAGGAAGCTCCATATAAACTGTCTCCTTAAGATCTCCATGCAAGAAGGCATTCTTGACATCCAACTGGAAGAGAGGCCATCCACGATGAGAGGCCACAACAAGAAGAGTACGAACAGATACCATCTTCGCAACGGGAGCAAAGGTCTCCTCGAAATCCACCCCAAACTTTTGACTAAAACCCTGTGCAACAACCCGTGCTTTATGACGCTCCAAAGTGCCATCGGGAAGAAATTTGAGCGCATAAACCCAGCGAGAACCCACAACTGGCCGATCAATAGGGCGAGGAACAACAACCCAGGTCTCATTTTCCCAAAGAGAAGTAACCTCCTCCGTCATCGCTCGATCCCAATTCGGATCACCCTTAGCCTGGGAATACCGAGTGGGAATAAAATAGGAATCCACACCATAAGTAACATAGTCACTATGCCGAGGCGAAGGAACACCCTAAGAAGAGCGCAGGGAGCAACGAACTGGCGGCGGGGGCGGCTGCGACGATGGCGGAGGCGGTGGGGAGGGAGGCGAGGCGTGATCAGGGGGCTGGTCGAAGTCAAGGAGAGCATCATCCATATCATCGTCAGTATCGGAGAAGGACGGAGGACCCAAAGAGGTATCGAACAAATGAGTGGTAGTGGATGAGGAGGAGTAGAACATGAGATTTTCCATAAAAACAACATTGCAGGCTGTACGAATGCGACGAAGTTCTGGATCATAGCAGAGATAACCCTTAGAGACATCACTATAACCAAGGAAGACACAACGAGCAGTTTTGGATGACAATTTAGTACGCTCAGATCGAGGAAGCAAAACAAAGCAAAGACAACCAAAAACACGTAGGCTCGAGTACGGGGGATGTTTGCCAAACAGTTTAAAATAAGGACTCGATTGGCCAAGAATAGGAGTGATCTGGTAATTAATCAATCGAACAGCCGTGGAAGCTGTCTCAGGCCAGAAAAAGGATGGAATATGAGATGAGAGAAGGAGTGCACGAGTAACTTCTACAACATGACGGTTTTACGCTCGACTAAACCATTCTGTT